AACTTATCATCTTGTAGAACTGAAGTGCTGTATACCCATTAAACCATAACTCTCCGTTCCACCTCTTTTTCTCTCCCTTGGGCTTTTGGCAACCATCATTCTTTCTGATTTTGACTATTTTAAGTACTAGTCCCATTTTGTCTGTTTTGGGATATGTTCCAAGACCCTTTATGGAATTCCAGAAACCTCAGATAGTACTGATTCCTATTTATACCATGTTTTTTCCTATGCATACATACTCAGGATAAGCTGTAACTTATAAATTAGACACAGTAAGAGATTAACAGCAATAATAAAATAGTTATACTGTAATAAAAGTTGTATGTCATATGTCTCTCTCTTTTTTTTTTTTTGATTTGGTACCGGGGATCGAACTCACGACTGCCTGCTTGCAAGCAGGTGCTTATGTTGCTGAGCTAAATCCCCAGCCCCTGTCATATGTCTCTTATAAAAACTGTCTTTTTTTGTGTGTATTCACCTCTTTTTCTTGACCATAAGCACCAGAAAACAGAGGAGACACACTGAAATTAAAAGGAGACCACTGGACTTGTACTGAAGTTGCCATTCTTCTTGATCATAAACAACAGAAACTAGAGAAAACAAAACTGAGATTAAGAGGGAACCACTGGACTTTATACTGAACAAAATTATAGTCTCTGTCAAAAGACATTTTTGTTGTTTTGTGATGAGCTTATTTCATTTAGCATGCCCTTAGGGTTTATCCATGTAGTAGCATATGCCAAAATTTCCTTCCTTCTTTAGGCTGAATAACAGTTCATTGTATGTATGTACCATGTTTTGTTTATCTGTTATGCTGTTGATAATTGGGTTGTTCTGTGTTTTAGCTCTGGTATGTAATGGGTGAACATGAGTGTATAAATACCTTGCTGAGACTCTGCTTCAGTTGTTTTTGTTGTTGTTGTTGTTTGTTTGTTTTAAAGTATAGAACCAGAAGTATAATTACAAGGTCAGAACTGTGCCATTTTACACTCTTGCCAACACAGCACAGGGTTCTACTTTTTCTACATTCTTGCAGATACTTATTTTCTGTTTTTTTTTTTTTTTTTTTTTTTTTTTTTTGTCTTTTTCCTTTTTATCGGTACCAGGGATCAAACTCACGACTGCCTGCTTTCAAGGCAGGCGCTTATGCCGCTGAGCCAAACCCTCAGCCCCTTTGTTTTGTTTTTAATAGTAGCTATCCTAATGCACATGAGGTTGATGTATCATTATCATTATTGTTACTTAATTCTGGGAATAGAACCTAAGGCTTTGTATATATGAGACAGGTGCTTTATCACTAAACTCAGTTTTCAGCCCTTCATTTTCCTTTTGTTTTTGAAAAATCTGGCACTATTTAAATTTTTGATCCTTTATAGAAGTTCTGTGTGTTGAGGGTTGTGATATTTCTGGTGATGTTTCTTGGTGTGGGTCTATTTCAGGAATTCTTTAAGAAGTTGTTTCTCTGAGATTCTCCCCTCTGTTCTTGTTCTCCTTTTTAACCTTCTGTTATGGTTTGTGTCTGGCTGTGCACCCAAAACCAAATGTGGTCTTGGGCACAGGCTTGTTAGAGGCAGCTGAATCTAGAGTTTGTGATTGGTTCATTGTCTAGTGCTGGGATTGGGGGTGTGAGAGCTACAACAGGCAGGTAGCCTACATACTATGTAAGAGAGCAGAAGAGGCCTGCTGCTTTCCTTGTTTGTTGTTTTTGCTGTTTGCTGCTGCCATGAACAGTGGCCCTTCTACCATGTGGCACTCTGCTTTGGCGTGTACCAAGTATGTATTGAAACCAGGTGTCGGGTATTTTGTCTCAGCAACGAAAAAGTAACTAAGACACCTTCCAACTTTCTATGTAGTTCTAATTTCTGCTGTGAAGTTTTAAATTTTTCATGAGCTATTTTTCTTCTGGACATTTTGAAATAGTGTCATCTGTAATGGATAGATTATCTTCTCTCAGGTTATTATTATTTTTCATGCTCTCTAGTTTTGTACAGTTTTCATTTCATTTTTATTCTTGTATTTTGTTTTGCTGCTTTTCATGATGCTTTCTTGAGGTGTTTGGTATTCTTGATTTTTTAATTCATACTTAAAAGTCAGGAAAAAAGTGAGAGATACATAACACAAAATTGAATCATGTGATATTGACATTCTTTCCCAGTTTTATCCACAATAAAAAAGAGGCAGTGAGGATGCCTCATTGTCTATGAACATAAGTATATTCTATCTTTTATGGTGGTTAGGGTAAAGTGTCACCTTGAGGGACTTTGGACTATGTTCAGGGAACTGGGGGAACACACTTCTGGGTGTGTCTGAATTGTTAATGGAGGTGTGGCCTTGAAGTCTGTGTGTGGTCCTTCTTCCTTGTCTGTCTGGTACTATTCCACTGATATGCTTCCCATCCACCATAAGCAAAACATCTTTACTTTGTCATGTCCTTCCACCATGATGTTTCTGCCTTGGAGCCAGCCAGTCATGGACTGAATTCCCCTACCATGAGCCAAATTAAACCTCCCTTCAAATTGTGGGTGTCAGTTATGTTCCAGTGATTTTTTTTTTTTTAACTCACTTCTAAATAATATCCTTTGTTTTAAAAAACAACAACAACAACAACAAAAAACAAGATTTCTTGGAGAAATGGCTGCAACACTGCTGTTTCAGGAGAAAAGAAAATTAGGAGACATCACATCTGTTGTGATATGAGATCCGGAATTGAAGGGAAGGGGTATTGCTATAAAGAATGTTATAGAGCAGTTGGCAGAATTGGAGTATAAACTATATAATCCCCATTCAACAATTTATATGTCAAATTTTTAATTTTGTCATGTGTTCTATGGTTGTGGAAGAGAATACCTTGTTCTTAGGAAAGGCACTGAAGAACTTGAGTATAAACAGATCGAGAATATGACTCCAGGGTAGATAGTATGCTTAGAGTTCATGAGGCCCTATCTCCAGCCTCTAACACCACAAATAAAGGTAAAGGCCTGTGCTAGTACAGATATTTGAGTGGGTGCATGGAGATACATGGGGTGGAGGTGGGAAGGTGAAAATGACACAGTGATAACAGCTGCTGAGTCTTGGTAAAGACTTTGAGGGAGTTTTTTTTTTGTACTGATCTTGAAATTATTCTGCCAGTTTAAAGAATTTTTAAGGTTGAAGCAAAAGTTGCTGATAGCAAGCTTTAGTCTTGGTTAGAGCTCATTGGCGTGCACAGTATAGCAGGTTGCCTAGTGTTATTTGTTACACTCATAAGGCAGTTTCAGTCTTCAGTTTGTATAGCAAAGGTCTTGCTTACTGGCCAGAAGGAGAGCCCATAAGGGAAATGTGCCTGCTGTGGTGCACAGTGTGATGTATTTGTGTTTGAGTATTCATTCTTCAGTTTTCACAGTCCTCGTGTGCATAGTGTGGCAAGCCCGACTGTATCTGTGCTGTCCTAGGGTCTCCCAGTTCAGAGAATGATCCTTTTATTTGTTTTTTGTTTTTTGTTTTGAGACATCTCTCTGTGTAGTTCAAATTGGCCTTGAACTCACTTATGTAGCCCAGGCTGACCTCGAACTCATGGTGATCCTCTTACCTTGGCTTCCCAAGTGCTTGAATTACAGACCAAACCTAGCAGAACAGCATCTTTTTAGCATGTGGTTATTTGCTGGTTGTAGGAACGGCAGGAAATGCGATTTAAGGATCTAAATGTTCATTGAATGATTTTAACAGTATTGCTATTTCTGTTCCTTTTTAGCAACCTTTTAACTTTATTCTTTTCTAGGTCATTGTGGACTGTGACTTCAACTTGCCCTTTTACTCCAGTTTTAGACCTCATTTCAGTATATGTTTATTATTCATTCTTTACCCAGAAGTCCCAGTCCTGTGCTTGCACTCCTCTCCATTCTTTCGTCTTGTTTTTCATATTCTTAGACCTTAGAATAACACGGGTTCTTAGCATAACAGTATAATCCCATTGTTGCTCTTTATTGGTTTAGGTGAAAAAAACCAGATCAAACCAAAACTGTATGCAATTAAACAGACCCCTTTCTAGACAGAGTAGATTATGTTTTCATGTACTTGCTAGAGTTTAGGTGAGCCTTGGATTCCCAATGTTCTGAGCACATTTGATAGTCATGTTTTCTTTTGGTGTCATGGATGGAGTGCAGGAATGGGGCTGGCTTCACTCTGTTGTAACATGCTTCTGGGAGCCTGTGATTAGACCATCCTGCAAGCGGGTGATTGTGGGTATTGTGAAAAATCATTGTATATGTTCAGAAAAGCACTTCAATGGCAATATGATTTTATTTTTAGAATTAAATATTCTTTTTATTTTCATCTAGGTTTGTTACTATTTTTGTTCATTTTGTTTGATTCTCTTATTTGAGAGGAGGTATTGAGTTGGTAACAATATAGTTTATGGAAGAAAGGCATTACATAAACAGTATTTTTTGTAGGTGCCTTGTAGACTGCATTCTTAAGAGGTTTTCAAATGAGTATTGTATCTACTGTTTTCTGTAGTATTTTCTGTAATATTAATATGCGAAGTGCCTTGGAAGGTAATTTATATTCCCTTCATGTGCAACATACGATTAAATAGATGTTAGAGACTGAATTTGGCTGTCACTAGTACTTCAGTGAACTTAAATATTTTACTCAGAGTTCCTGGTAAAAGTTACAGTTGTTAAAGCTCTTACCTAGGGGACATGAAAAAGTATGGATAAGAATATTATTGATGTTTTCTTTTTATAAAGAATGAATCTTTTTCTCCATTCAACTACTAGTGCTATTTTGTCTGTATTTAGTTTAGGGGGTTATTGTTTAGTGCCAGATAAAAGCTTGGGTAGAATGATGACAGTTCCTTTTTTTTCTGTGTTCACATTTTTAAAAAAGTCTCAGTTAACTAAAACTTTTTGTAGTTCCCTGGGTCTCAGGATCCTGATAAAAAGGTATCTTTTTACTGTAGCTTTCATCAGAACAAAAAAGAACATACCTAATTATCTGCTTTTTTTTTTTCCTTTTAATAGGCGAACTTATTTTAAATCACATCCCACTTTATTCCTGCTAATCTGCCAATGTGGTAAATTGGAAGATAACGGTCACCAGGATAACCTGTAATGGGCAAGGAGCCACAGAGAAGAAAATATTTCTTTTAATTTTTAACCTTGGTTTGAAAGGTAAGACCATTAAATTATCAGGAGTTCTTTTCTATGAATTACACCAGGAGAAGCTGCAGTCTCTCGTGAGATCTTGGAGCCCAGGTAAAACAGGTTTAGAGCAATTTCAAGATAGGAACAGTGTTTTACTGTGCTGGTTGTAGGAAATTAGACAGCAGCCTTTGTGGTCTGCTTTTGGTTTATCTAGTCTACAGAACTGAAAGGAACCCAAAAAATTCTTAGTTTTCAGGAGGAATTGAGCTGAGCACTAAGGACCAGCAGGACCTAGCAAGCTGAAGTAGCTGCATAGAGAAAGAATGTGAATAGAGACCTGTGACCCAGCCACCACTTCCACAGTTAGGTTATTTGATGTTGTGTGTGTGTGTGTGTTGTTGTGGTGGTTGTTGTTTTACATCAACCAAAGAACATTTGGCTTCTACCTAGTTACCTGTCTTCTCTTCAGTTCTTATTGCTATACTCTGAAACACTTTGCTGGAACTTTTTATTAAAGATCAGAGATTGTTTCAGAAGCCTGGGCTTTTTTTTTTTTTCCTTGATACTGGGGATTGAACTCATGACCTTGCGTTTGCCAAGCAGGCACTTAAGCTGCTGAGCTAAACCCCCAGCCCCAAAGATCAGAGATTGTGCTGGCATATTTGACTTTTTGCTTGGTTGGCATTTAATAGGAAGTCACGTAGTGGTGTCTTTTAGGGGAGTCACAAAAACGCTTAATCTAGATGTATTTTGAGGAGAGGATAGGCATAAAACCATTTGATCATCTACCTTTGTCAACTGGTGCTTACCCTAGGACTTGATGTTTTAGTTACTTCTTGCTTCCTTTTCTTCTTGATCAGTTTTTGCCTCTACCCTCATTAGTAATCTTTGCAGCTCTTTTTCTTTTCATTTCCACTGCTGTGTGGCTAGACCACGCTTTCTTACCTTAGCAGAGCCTATAGTAGTTTCGTTATGAGGGTCTCTCCTAATCCTGAGCATCTAGAATACTGCTTTGTATATGACCTCTTAGGCACCCAAGAATGGTCCTTTTCAACCTTAGGAGGCCCCCTTTGCACTTAGACAGTGGTGCTCTAAGTGTTGCCCTGATATTTGGGTTCTAGTATGAATCTGCCAGTTTTTTCTAGCTGTTACCATTTTATTCTCCTGCAAGGATCTTAAGTGGGAAGTTCTCTCCATGTTTTCAATCTCCCTTTTCCCATTTGTCTCATTCAGTTTTCTTATTCTGTGTAGTATTTAATTCCACATCTTCTAGTATTCAACTTTCCTCTTACCCTTTTTTTGTCAGATATTTCTGGATTATTTTATGTCCTTTGCTATCATTTCCTTGTTAACTCAGAATATTTCATTAAGTTATTTTAGGATTTGCTTTTTTGCTTTAAATTTTAAGTATTTGGTAAACAAGAAATTTTGAATTTTACTTTATACCTTAATTACTTTTCACATAATAGGAATCACTAATGGGTTGGTAGTAAGTTCTAAAATTTCAGGCTCCCTTCCCAGGATATTTTGAGACTTTCTGTCTCTCTTTCTCCCCTTCCAACTCCCTCTCTCTGTCTCCCATTTTTTTCTTTGTTAACAGAGAGCTTTGGCACCTTAGAGAACAATTCTTAACCCTTAGCTCTTCTTTTTTGTTCTTTTACTTGTCTCTGCTCATCAGCATGCCTTGCCATATTACAATGAGGAAGCTCTTCTTAAAAGAAGTTACTCAGGGCTGTGGATTTAGCTCGGTAACGCAAGTGTCTGCCTGGCAAGTGCGAGGTCGTGAGTTTAATCCCTGGTACCAAAAACAAACAAACAAACAAAAAAAAAGCAAGAAAAAACAAAAAAAACGAAGCAAAAAAGAAAAGTTACTCAGATGTTTCCAGGAGTCCCAGAATCAGTGCCAGATGGGTAGGAAGAATTCCTAGAATGGAGCATCACTAGAGGTATAGATTAAACCTGTGTTGCAAAGGGCCAGATAGGAAATATCTTGGTAGTTTGATTTTTTTTTTTTTTTTTTTTGGTATGGGGGACTGAACTCACGATCGTGCGCTTGCAAGGCAGGTGCTTATGCCACTGAACTAAACCCTCAGCCCAATATTTTAGATTTTGTAGATAAAAGGGGTGATATGAAGATAAGGGGAACAAATTTTCACAGGCTATTATTGATGAGATTCAAAATTCAACAATTGGTTGGAGTGTTCTACAATACAGATCTGTAAACAAAGAGATGCAGTTCTTTTCCAAGAGGGATAAAATTTCACCTAATCAATATTTAAAGTTATAGTTACTCTGCTCTGTCTTTAAAATTTATTGCAAGTCTTTTACGCAGATAAGACATCCACATTTTGTTATAGGTCCCTAAGCATAGATAACTTCAGGTGAGTATGTTCATTCCTTTGGGAGCTTGTATAGAGTTCTGCATTTTGTTTTGTTTAGGGTTTTATCATGCACTTTAAGCTGGCCTTGAACTCACTGTGTAGCTCTGACTGGCCTCAAACTCAACAATCCTGCCTCAGCCTCCCAAGTGCTGTTATTACATGTGTGTGCCACCACGCTCAACCTAAACTTTTTATATTTGCTATGTAGCATGTTTAATACACTGTGAATTAATCACTTCCAGTTGAAGGTTAGATAAAAACTCCTGTTGAACAACTAGATGAAGTTTGAAACAGGGAAATTTTCTTTGGGCATTATATTAGTGGCTGGAAAATGCTAAGTAACTGTACATTGAGCTGAGAAAATACATCTACAGTAAGTCCCCACCTTAAGTTCTGTTTTGGGAGAATGTTTAAAAGTCAGATTTCATTATCTTACACAGTACACTTGTGAAAATTTGAAACTTAAATGTTCGTAAGTCAGCAACTTACTATACTGCAAATTTATATAAGAGTGGGAAATCTCACTTCTTTAACTTCTGATAGCATTCAAAGTATGTGGCACAGTTTAACTCTTTTTACAATCTGAACAAGTTAGTTTTTGAAATGATATTACTGTAGTGTAGGGTATGAATTTCAGCAGTGTTGTATTTTTTTGTACTTTAAGATTGAATGCAGTAAAAAATACGAATACCATGTGAAGGTGAATTTTCATACCTCTCCAGTGTTCAGTAATTGTGCTAAAAAATTGCAGTCAAGGCACTGTAGAAGCCATCAAGCTCCTGTGTGATGGTAGAGCAAATCAAAAGCTAATGGTAAAGTCCACAAAAGTGAATGTTCAGTGTTGACACCATTGGTTCAATACAGTGTGGTGGATTAAAAAGTCTTCCCAAGTACCTGCTGATAAATAATAGAATAGCTATAAGCTTTAAACATCTTACATTTTTACCAGTTTTGTAAAAAATCTGCCCAACTCATCCTTTTTTGGTTCTATACATAATTCTGCTAGTCAGTTGTAGCATATCATACTAAATTTAGCTTTAGGTTGTCTTATCTCAGTTTCTTTGAAAGTGTTCAACTATAGTTGTTTTGTGAGGAATAGGCTCAAGTTATGTCATGCCTTTACAACAAAAATAACAGTCCTGTTTCATCTTTTGCGTCTCTGGCTCTTACGTGGGACTGCTACCTCTGTCTTTTATTTATTCCTACATTTCCAGCTCATATGCAGCTATTTCTAATCTGTTCTACTTCTAACTACAAAGAAAAAGTTTCGCTCTTACCTGTGGAAAGTTCTTTTTTCCTGCATCTTCTAACATGTAGCACAACCCCCCCCCCAATAAAATAAGTACTAAAGTATGTATGCTCTGTTTAATTATTTCCTAAATCTCTGATTTATTTGTAAAGTTCTCGTCAGTTGCATTCAGTATTCCATCAGCTCCATCATCATCTTGGATGCATCCTTTTCTGAATCCCTATCCTTTTGCCATGCTCTGGGCTATTTTGTTTTTGACCTTCTCTATAGCTGGTAAGGTTTCCTCTCACTATTGTTCCGGGAGTTGTCTTTGCTTCTCCATGTCAGATCCCTGGTTTCTTGTATTTTTGCCTTATTTTGGTAAATCATGTACTCAATAGAGTCCTGAGAAAATTTGAATAAATCTTGCGGACCTTCCTTGTCTGAAAGTGTTTTTTTCTAGGATTGTTTTTGGAGGAATTTGGTGTCATTCTGATTTTCTGTCCTGTGAGTGTTCTTGTTTATGTGGGATTTTCTTCCCTCATTAGAAAAGTTTAGATACTATCTTTCTGCTGGCATGGAATTTCACGTGGTGCTCAAGAAAACTTGTCTTTGTGATGGTGATGACCGATGCTAAGGAGAGCCACATTTGTTAAATTCTGGAAAATTTTCTTTTTACTTTTTTGGCGGGGAGGTTGTCATTAGAATATAGTCTTATAAAACTTTTAATTAAACATTTGACTTCCCAAATGGTTTCTATTAGGGTTTTTCTTTCTTCACAAATTTTTTGGTGGTTTTCTTGGAAGATCATTCCGTTTTCTTTATCCCTTATAGTATTGTTGTTTTATTTTTTCCATATACTTAGTAGAATATTATGTAGTGCTCAACTCACCTAAGCCTCTGGAAGATTCTGTAATCCTTTCCATTTCACTATTGAGGCTCCACATCATCCCAGATGTAGCTGTGTATTGTACCTTTTATATCCTATGGACTTGGAGAAGTAGCATAGAAATAATTTATTTTACCTTCTCAACAAAAGTTTCTGCTCTCAAGTTTGGTCAGGGCATCTCTCGCTGAAAGGGCTTGTTTGTGGCTGCGGTTTTCATTTTTAGCAAGTTCTTGCTATGTTACTCATAAATAGTCTTTACTTTCACCCACTGGTTCTCATTTTATCCTTGTGTGCTATATATGATACATTTTCTCTTATACATAATAGTATAAAAGAACTTTAACATGTTCAAAGCTAATTACTTTGTCTTGCAAGAGATGAGTCTTCTAGAGTCACCCTGGTTGTCTCTTTGTGATAGATACCATACCATTTGCCAGTTTTCTTAAGTTTCTCTTGGAACAGGAAATGGTATTGCCTGATATGTTATTATCCAGTATGTGAATTACCTAGGATGGGCTACAATGGGATT